TACGAATAGTTAGTTTGCAGCAATTTTTAATTAAAAACAGTTCCCATAGTAAGAAAATGAAAAAAAATAAAAAGGATGTTGGGAAAATAAAATCAGTACAAGAGTCCTGCAATTTGTTTTCTGAGGCCATGTAAAGAGCTTGAAAAATAACAGTTTGGAAGTTCTCATTTTTAAAACTGCACTTTTGGTTTCATTTAACATTTTCAAAATAGCTTTCCTTACCATCACCCATCCCCCTTCCCCACCTCACCAACCCCTTTCAAAAAACTTCCAAAGTTTTGTTTTTAACACTGAAAATCATGCATATACCTCAGAGTAACAGCAACATTTTTTTTTTCTAAATTTCTGAGGTGGGGGACTTTCAATTTAGCACAAAGCATTTTTCTTTTTCTCCACCTATCCAAAATAACTAATCTCATTTTAACTAGATTCCATCTGAACATCAGTGATACTAAGCTATTCCATGAATAAACATGATGTTACAATGTGAAACCCCTGTGACTAAAGTATATAAAAATGTAGCCGAAAGAAAAGAGGACCAGAATCCTCCTCCCCCAACCCCCTCCCCAGGGAGTTTTAGAGTTGAGCTGAGGAGGGGTGAAAACCAGATTTAAATTTCAAGGTCTTCGAACATTTGTAAGCTTCGTACTAAATCCTGCAAAACTAAAAACTATAATTCTAATAAAATCATTGTGTGTTCGACTTTCGATTGCAATCACCATTTTCTCTTTTGGAGGGGGATGTTTAATACTGATAAAATAAAAAAAAATCTCAAAACAGAAGAAATACATAATGGAACTCACACTGTGTTTATGGTTTGTTTGTTTGTTTTTTTTTAACTAACACGGTGCCAGCATGAAAAACTGTATATATTTTTTAATTGAATGGAGACATTTTTGATCAATTGAGTGAGGAAACAGGGTATAGAAAAGTTATCCACTTTAACAAGGATTTTTATAACTTTGCTTGATAAGCAGTCTTAAATTCTATAATCAATATTAGTTAAATCCTTTTACTTAAAATGTTCACTATGATGTTTCTGTATCTTTTATCTAAATTTTCATCTCATAACACAGACTTCAGGAAATGGAAAAATAAAGTTTTTTTTAAATGTTTTTGTTTTTATTGAAGCTTTCACAGAATGAATTCTGAAGTCTTCAGAACATATTTTTATATCCTACTTGACTGTACTCTGTGTACAATGTTAAACTATATAATTGTGCATTGTATTCTTCCAAAACACATTTGGCACAGCAAGACCATTCAAGTCCAAAAATTTTGGAAGACACCAGGTCAATTTATGACAGCGTACACTACAGAAAATATAAACCCCTTTTTACTGCCTGGGAATTACAATGAACAACTGTGATGTAAATCTCAAAAAGTTTCTCTTAATTTCATTTTAAGGTGGGGGGGTAACACCCACACATTTCTTTATGAAACTCCACTGAGATTCTAATGTTGCAAAGACATTTTATTTCCCAGAACAGCAGCAGCTTTTGAAACAATTTTTTTTGTGTGTGGTTGTTGTTGTTTGCTTTTTAATGCGTTCATATTCCTTTAAAAAGAGGCAAAGTCCCATCATCTCTTTGACACTGTTTTCTTTTGCCGCAAAGATCAGAGATTTAAGTAACTTCATAATAAGGCAAATATCGGGGTTGTGGAATAAGTACGTCCAGGAGAGTGAGAAGCAGATGCCCAAGGCAGCTTCAGCTCAACAGAAGTCACCAGGCCCCCAAAAGCATCGGAATTGTGCTTGTCAGGAGAGGTGATCATTTGAGTGTGTTGGTTCTCAAGCCCTCTCACCTCTTGTATCCACTGAGTCATTGACTGGCTGGTCAAAAAATGTCTACTGAGTACCTGTTTCCTCCGGGAACTGCTTGCTCTGAATGCCAGATTTAAGCAATACTGGACCTTCAAGTTTTCTTCACTATTACCTGAATTTTTTCAGTACCATTTGTAATTTTGAACTAAATACCATGAGCAAAAAAATAACGACTGTACTCTTTACTCGATTTCGTAATACTTCATCGTATAAAGAAAACCAATCTGAATTTTCAAATTAAAGGGGCACCACTGGCAACTTGCAGATGAGGAAACAAGACCCATGCCAACTAGTTAGTAAGAGTTAAAAACAGGGATAACTACCAATCTGATGCTCTTTAAAACTACTCAGCATCTGAAGAACTTTTATTGAATTGAATTGGAACAAATGCATCAATCCTCATGAGAGAAAGCTCTAGGGCCAGCTGTAGAAGGAGAGTGGGTAAACATTAGGGTTCTTTACTAATCTCTCCTTTAAAAAAAAAAAAAAGAGGTTTCTAGAAAATTTCTACAAATTTGGATTATATTTTCTTCATCACAAATTGATTTGCCCAAAATGGTTGCATGCATTAGGTAAATTCCACAAGTCATCATTCAACAATCTATTTGATTTTTTGTGTGAATAAACTGATAACTCTTGCTGGATATCATATTTTATTCCAACCAATCCCTCTTGCGGGTTTAGGACAGCTTTATCATAAGTAATAATTATTGGCAAAGGCACAGTATAACTTTTCATGAAAAGTTATTTTTTTCTAAGTATACGTTATGATCAAAATTTAATATTAATGTTAATATTTAAATATCTTAGGAGCAATTATTTGATCCTTTCTTTCATATGAAATGAAAACAAATTTATTGCATTGGGTTCATGACACCATTTATTGCTTGGCAAAGAAAAAGTGTCAGGGCAATTATTTGGCTAATTATAGAAAAGCTCTAACTAAGGTGGGGAGAGATGTACAGGGGTTAGTTAGCTCTAGAATAAGCCAGAAGATAGTTCAGAGCGCTTTACTGTCATAGGCAGAGAAGCTTAAAAAGTCTTTGAGATTTGTCATAGCCAGCTTTCCTCTACAAGTACTTGAGCAATAGAGTAGTTTTTTCTACTCAGAGCTGAATCTTTAAAAAGTAAAACCCCATAATCCAAAAGTTAGGAGTTCCAGAGTTTAGCTCTCACATAGAATAATGTGTCGTTTTGGAGAAACATTGCTAATGGGGTTCTTTTCAAATGTCTTATCTCAAATGTGAAACAAAAGTGGTACCATACTGCATCTTGCAGATTTTTATGAGGGCCAGGATAGAGAAATCTTGCATACAAGTCTCCTAGCTCAGAACTGGCCAAGTGATAAGTACAGGACACACTGATAGAGAAAGCTGTCTGCGTTCCTAACAAATTCAGGATGGGGGGGAAACTGCTTTCTGCAACTCCTCAAAAACTTTCCAAAATGTAAGGTGGACACAGGTCATTTTTAAAACTTGTTGCCGTTCAAGAACTGAGCCTTAATGGTCTGTCTCTCTGTCTCCTGTCGTTCTCTCTCTCTCTCTCTCTCTCTCTCTCTCTCTTTCTCTCTCTCTTTCTCTCTCTCTCTCTGTCTCTGTCTCTCTCTCTGTCTAACTAGTCATACTTCTAAAATACTTTCCCCCCAAAATTGGTACTGCAGTTAATGTGTGCCTGAATTGTTTTCTCTCCCCCTAATTCTAAAAGCAGGCTATGTGAACCAATAGTGTACACAGAAATGTAAGATTCCAGCACATAGTTGCAAAGATATGAAGAAAATATACAAACTGTAACACACACACAAAACAACATTCTCAAAACAACACACAGTTACTGCCAACAGCTTACCACCCTAACTGGCTTCTATAGAGAGCAACAGTATCTGCAATTATATTTAACATTTATGATGTATTCACATATAAAGGAAACAGCAGTGATTAAAAACAACCCAGCTTTTAAAAAACATTAAGTACTTGTTCAGCAGTTAGCCAATCAGAAAGCAGGTCACATCTTGTTAGCTGTATTAAATACATTAAACGTCATGAACTCTCTGGCTATGTTGACAATTCAGGGAAGTGTGTTTTATTTTATCATACAAACTTAATTGAGTCCCTTCCCGGAGTTAAAAGTCAATCTTCAATCTAAAATTCCACCAAAACTATTCCCTAAAAGCTCTTTGGCATAAATTCTCTGGGTATTTGTACTCTCCAGAGAAGACCAAATTCCTAGCAATTTCTACTTCCTAAAGTGACTTTGGTGCGCCCATCACAAACTCCTTTTTCAGAACACTTCCACACAAAGCCCCAACTTCCAGGCAGATGGACAACCCAGCAGCATGACCTGCCAGCAGAGCTAGCACAGAGAAAAAGTCAACTGACATAAAATATTTAAATTGCAGGAGGCAAGCCTGGAGTTTTGCATTTAGAAAGTTCTGAAAGTCCTGTTCTCTCTGCTCCCAGAGTTGTCCGCTGCCTAGGAGGCTGAATCTCCCTCTTTCAGGCACAAGATCCCAAATCTACAAACACTAGAGCTGGCTGGAATGCAGAGCCAGCTCCTGTCCTAAGGTAGAGCGCTTAGGAGACACTGCCTTCGGCGATGGGAGAAAGTGAAGAATTTCCTTGCCCCAAGCAACCGGCTTCTGAATTTAACACGGAAATGTACTCGAACATGTGTCCCTTCAGGGCTAGTTCTGAAAAGTGGGCAGGGTTACTCTTCTGCCTGCTTTACCTCGAGGTCGATGACTTTGAAAAGCAAATGCAGGTCAAAACAGACTTCCTCTGGAATTTGCAAATAAATAAATAAATAAATGCCCCTTGCCGGAGGCAAACAATCACAAAATTCCCTGCCATTCTATCACAGAAACACTGACAGGACTGACTCAGCGCGTGTGAACACCAGAGTTCTGGGAGAGCAACCCTGCTGGAGACCCAGCATGTGAATACAGTGCTGGGTTGTCTCTTTCGAGATTCCGGCAGAAACTGTCCCCTGCCACAAGAGTTGCTCTGCCTGGAAAGCCAGCATTCAAACTCGTGGATTCATCCCGGCGCTCGTCTCCACGTCCGGACGTGGTAGTATCTAGTGGGACACTTCCCACAGAATTCAGCCAGAAACCCTAGGCAAAGCCCAGACACAGTTTTTAAAAAAGACATCAACACATACCCGAGGTTGAAGTACTTACCTCTGTGCGAGACTGCAGTCTCTTGTTCATCTCATAGATTCGGTACTCTGGCTGTACCATGTAGGGTGTATGTCTCCTATAAAATGGGCCGAAAGGAGAAGAATAGAAGGGGTCATGTGGTGTGCTGGACATCTTGCCTGCTTGTCGAAAATCAAGCTGAACAGAGTATCAGTAACGTCCATGCAGAGCACATGGGCTGTGTTCTTCACAGTACAAAGTAGACGCACGCACTCACGCTCACACACACACAGAGGCAGGCAGGCAGGCAGGCTGAACACACTGGCTGGGAACTGCTGTCGGAGCCCTCTCTAGCAAGAGAGGAGAGGGAGAGCCAGAGGAGGGAGGAGAGAGGGAGGGAGCACGGGAGAGGAGGGAGGGGGAGAGAGCTGGAGCTCCAGAGAGGAAGGGAGGGAGGCTGGGAGGGAGGAAGAGAAGGAGGGACGGAGGGAGGGAGGGAGGGAGAGAGGGAGAGAGAGAGAAGCTGGATAGCTTTGGGCACCACTGCTTGTTTTTAAAGAAGCAGTTTGTGGAGAGGTCATTTCCTGTCCACACTGTAGACTAGTTCAAAAATATAATTCTCTTCACAGTCTGACAAGAAGTCTAAGGTTTGGTTTTAATTTTTTTCCTCCAGCCAGGACCCTTCGCAACCTGATTGCTAAGCTTGTTAGCACAGAGGTGGTTTAACCACTGGCTGAGCCACTCACCCCTGACAGCCAGACTGTGGTCATGTATCAGAAATGTGATTATTACAACACAGAAACACAGGCACTGTGGTCCCCCGAATTTGGGCTAGTGATTCCCTCCCATGCAAAGATTTCTCTTGGCATGAATCTCCCTGTATAGTTTTGCTTTACTTGCTGTTGTTCCAAAGCCTTGTTATATTCTTTGCATTTCTCCCTCTCCTCTCCCCCATCCCTCTCTGTCACCCCTTTTCCTGGCCTTCTTCCTCTTTTCCCAACACTTTGTGCAAGCCTTTAGGGTTACCTGGGCATTTTCAGGTAAAGCCAGTCATTCTGAATGTAGCATTTCGAAAATACATTTATCGGGCAATGGTCTTTTTTTTCATAGGCAGAAAAACTAAATTCCCAAAGCAGACCTCCCAATAAGATGGGAAAAGCACAAGAAAAAAACTCCCACAAAAATGACCATGGAAAATTCAGTTGAATAGGAAATTGCAGATCATTGAATGGATCATCCCCAAATAACATGTCCAATTCTGATGGAGATAAGTCTTTCTTTTCCAAGATTGGTTAAGTATATACATCTTTTCTCCACTGTGGTATATGATAACTGGAAAATTACCCAATAGCCCATGGGAAGAGAAAGAGTCTCTACAGAGAATTAAGGGATCTATAAGATAATTAAATTCTGCTGGAACGAATGATAACCAGATATATGACACTTAAACAAAGCCCAGCCACAGAAAATTTAAATGCATTGAGCTAACACCTAGCTAGGTCAGTGGTATTAAAGGAAGTAAAACAAACTACCACCAAAAAGCATGATGCATGCAAGACCTGAATGCAAATGTATGTAAATGAGACATTTCTTCTTTTTAATAAGCAGATAATTAACTTTCTGCCCCAATCATGGCTTGGGTATCTCCAAGTCACTAGCCAACAGGGATAAGGTATTGCTCATTTTGCAATGTACACTCTTAAAAATACTCAGACACAGAAACGCCCCCACGTTACTGTCTTGATCAGTCATTTTCCATAATTGCATGAAATGTTTGCAGAGTTCACCCCAAACTTCCAGCAGTGCAACCCAACATAGCAATGGTGCTTGCCAGGATGAGATTAGGGGAGGTATTACACTAAGGCTGTTTGAAACTTGTGCTGGGAGACCCCAAGGCAGGCAAGCATGCTTGGTTTCAGGTTTCATTACAAATCCAAAAGCTGGACCAAATTTGCTGCAAGGTTTGTCAAAACACACAACCTTCTAAAGACAGGATTTCAAACAATTTTGGCGTGATTTATGTTTTGGTATGGTGGCCACTGCAAAACCTAACGGTTCCTTATGTTTAAATTCCCAAACTAAAGATGTTCTGAGAGTTTAGTGTCTCCCTGAGTTTGTGTTAACGTGGCCATTTCAGTGCAAAAATCAAAGTAACACCTAGGCAGGAACGCATAGCCCAATAGTAATAAAAAATGAAACAGCTCAAAAATCCATTTAGGAAGGGAATCCCTTCCTAAATAAGGGTCAGATTTTTCCTCATTAGGTCTTATAGGCATTCCAAATTATAACTGGAAGTATCTCTTTTTTATTTCTTTTTTTATTTTAAAGATGTGGGGTACCATTCAGGATTAGGTATACAAGTGGTCATTGTACAGATAAAGTTTGGGCCTCCCTTTGGCCCCCACTTCGCCTAGTTTGAGAAATATTTCTTTCTGTTAATACCTAAGGACTTCAAATGTAGAACTATGAAACTTGATAATGCTTGAGCCACATCCGTGGTTCTCATCCCTGCTACCTCAAGGGTCTCCAGATGGGTCTCCCAGATGCACAGTTCTCTTCTAACATGATTTGTCCTTATTCTAATCAGAATGTTAACTGTAGATAAGGGAAACTGATCGTGTCCTATGCTTTCCCCATCAGTGTTTCCATGCTGCCAGCAGGACAATGTCTAGGTTCCTTAGGGACATGGCATACAAGGGTCAGTAAATCCCACACTTGTTCTCTATCTCTCTCTTTCACACACACACACACACACACACACACATTCATTCAGTTGTCTATTTATTTATGGCTATACTTGATCTTCCTGAAGTTACAGTTTCCTTTCTTGCATGGCTACATTTATAATTTTGCCCCTTGTTTACTTGCAAGCTCCTTCTCATCCTTCTATCCAATTAAACTGTGTTCTCCCCATAAACCTTTTATTTATTTATTTATTTATTTATTGAGTTGGAGTCTTACTTTGTCACTCAGGCTGGAGTGCAGTGGCACACTTCCGACAACCACAGCCTTGACCTGCTGGGCTCTGGCCATTCCTCCGCTTCAGCCTTCCAAGTAATTGGAACTACAGGCATGTGCTACCACGGCTGGTTAATTTTGGATTTATTGTAGAGACGAGTTCTCGCCAAGTTGCCCGGGTGGGTCTCGAACCCGTGGGCTCAGGAAATCCACTCGCCTCGGCCTCCCAAAGTGCTGGGATTACAGGCGGAGTCACCGAGCCCGGCCCCATAAACCTTTTATAATCATGCATTCCTTCATTTATTTATCCAACAGATAGTCGATTCACAGTGGATAGTGGAACAGGTCATAGCATCACCTGATGCACATTTCAACACTGGTGCTACCACTTGTTTGCTCAGCCTCTGGGTACCTCAGTCTCTGGGTACCTCTGTCATCTCATTTGCAAAATGAGAACAATGGTAATAGCTAGTCCATGATTGTTGCAGAGAAGTAGCTAACACATCTGAATGTATTAGAACCCTCACTTCAAAATGCTCAATGTTTTTATTATTATGGGTACCTAAAGTCTCTCTAGGTGCTGGGGAACATTGGGAAGCCAAGATGACACAGCAGGTAAGCCTATCTAACTACCTGACTTCCTGCTGCTTGCCATCTAGTGGTAAGGGAGAAGTGGCATAGAACTAGTAAAGAGTTGAGGACAGCATTTTCAATTACAGTGCATGCTCTGATAGAAATACATAAAAAAGGAAAGATAGCAAATCATTTTCCCCTTTGGGTGAGCTGTGTGCCTTTTCTATTTTTCTATTAGAGGACTTATACATGAGAGAAACAATTACTGTCATTTGTGCAGTACTGTGTGCCAGCTATTGTGCAAAATGGTCTGCAGAAATGCTCTTAGTCGATATCACAATAAATAAATCTATGGGATTGATTTGATTACTATCTCCATTTTATAGATATGGAAACTGAGGCTTTGAGAGGCTAAGAAAAATTTTTCAAGGTCATACAATGAATATGTGACAGAGATAAGACTCACACTCAGTTTGCCATACTACCTGGGTCTTAAGCAGCTAGCATCCATTCTCATCTTGAAAGCATCTCTGTTCTTTGTCCCCAGCGGCAAGTGTGATGCCAAGCTCATGATGGGAGCTCAAGACATATGGGCCTGATTAAACTGAAGAAGAAGCAAGAGTATAAAGCAACTCTCATCACCTGGATTTCGTTCTTTGTCCTGCTGAATTTCAGACCCTATGTCTGTTCCCCCTCCCCCCCACTCTAACTCCTTCTACTGAAGCCTTGCTAAACCACTCTCACTTTTCTTATTGTCCCAAATCTCCCAGCACGAACTCTCAGAGCCACTTGTTAGGTGTTTAATCCTTGGCACTGTCAGGTTACCTGGTTGGTTATGTCACCTATCTGTCTGCTTTCCTGTTTCTTCAGGGGCCACTATCTGACTTGTAGCAGGGTCAAGTAGCCTATCTGGTGTGTCACCTTGGCCTCCCAATGTTCCCGGCGTGAGAAGGGAAGGAAATGAAATGCTGATTTTAAGACTTAAAAAAAAAGGGAAATTCAATAAGCAATAATTACATACCGTCAAAGAACAAACAAATCCAACCTGCAACACAATAATTTTATTACCCCCAAAGATTGAGTCATGCCTATTTATGTGTGTGTTAAGAGTGAATAATTTTGAAAAGTCCTCATGCAAACATTCCAGGTGCTCTACAAACTGGCCTGCCCTCTACCCTTGGGACCTCATCTAGCCATACTCACCTTAAGTTTAACCCACAGTTTAACCCACAGTGATTTTTATTCCTTTAACTTGAAAAACTTGTCCACTGTTTAAAAAGTGAAAGCTTTCACTTACAATCCAGATTTTCATCTTTTCTAGAAAAATCTTAAGCTCTGGCCATCCTTGGCCTCATCCTTGTCTGCATGGTGATGTGCAGCTGGAACTGACTCTCACTTCTTGTCCATTCGCCAAGGTCTCCATCACTCTATGGCCTTCACATCCAGTGCCCCTAATTTCCAGGTACCTGCCTGGTCCCTCCAGGCATTGGAGTCGTTGTCCTTTTCCTTAATCTATCCAGTTGCATCCTTTCTAAATCCTACAGCCAAGCCCTATTTGCTGCAGAGAGATGGTTTTTTTCTTACCATTCTTCAGCTCTCCCTCTCTGCCTTTCCTAGCCTATTTCTGTGTACTATATTTATTTCTGCCTCTTCATGCAATAAGCACTTAGCTAATAGGTAAAGACAAGGCAAGTTGAGATGTGGGGAGGGATAAAGATAAATAAAGACATAGGAGGCATGGTCTCTGCCTTCCAGTTACTCACTGACATGCAAAAATATACTTTCTTCATTCAGCAAGTACATATTGATTTCCTACCATGTACTAAGCACCATGCCAAGTACTGAGAATACTGCTCCAGGAACAAAACCAAAGGAAACACAGAACTAATCCCCAGCTCCAGGATCTTCCAGTAAAGAAACAGTCTAGAACAATTTTTCAAAGAATGAACTTTGGAGCCTCACTGACT